ACGCCAATGTCACAACAATGATACGAGGAAAGATGACATATACAACCCATGACGCCCCTTAACCGCTTTCTATATATCACACCATTTTAACGAACATTCATTCAAATGCAGCTATGAACATATAAATCCAATGGTTTAATGACAAAAGGATACGTATAAGTTTTAAGTAACGAAGAAAAGACAAAAATGTCGTGCTTCATCACATCTCAAGACTGCGCCAAGGTTATCCTGGCTAACTTTTTAATGCCTCCAAGTTTACCATGCAAAACTTACTTCAATTAGTTTGAATCAATCCTATGTTCATCTTTTACACAATAACACTCAGATACTTAATTGACATTCGCCAACATTCCACTTCGAACCACAATGAACTTCTCGAGCTTTCCGGAGAAGCAGATTCATCAAGAAGAAAATTCAAGCCAATATGTTCGCCAAGCACACCAACCAAAGACTACCAATAGTTACGACGTTCTTCCGGATAACTTTCACCCATGCTTTAAATACAATGCAATAGCAAAACTTTTGTTTTTTTTGTTCCTCACATAAAGTCATAGCATGTGGTCAAAAGGAAATCAATATCAGGCTACAGTCAAAGAAGAACAATCAAAAAAATATAGCTGCCTACAGCTAAAGGTATACTGTGAAGGGTACAAGAATAAGGGTATAAGGCTAAGCATATAGGAATAAGGGTATTTCGTTAAGGAAAAAGTATTAAGGGTATAGAAATAAGGATATGGGCATAACGGTATAAGGTTAAGGATCTACGAACAATGGTATAGGGTTAAGGGTATAAGAATAAGGATATAGCATTAAGGATATAGGCATGAGGGTATAAGGTTCAGGATATAGTATTAAGGGTATAGGAGTAAGGATATAGGCATAATGGTATATGGTTAAGGATATAGGGGTAAGGGTATAGTAATAAAGGTATAGTATTAAGGATATAGTCATAACGTTATAGAAATAAGGATATAGGCATAAGGGTATAGGGTTAAGGATATAGGGGTAAGGGTATAGTAATAAAGGTATAGTATTAAGGATATAGTCATAACGTTATAGAAATAAGGATATAGGCATAAGGGTATAGGGGTAAGGTTATAGTATTAAGGATATAGGCATAAGGGTAAAGGGTTAAGGAAATAGAGTTAAGGGTGTGAAGGTGAGCGTAAAGGGATAAGAGTATAAATTATGGCGTTCTCAATCCATTAAAATGCATTTTTAACAATAATGTATGCAATTACATTATAATGCAACCTAAATAATGTATTATAATATATTAAAACCTCAATGCATTGCAATGCATTACAAAATCAATGAATTATAATGCATTATATAGGTTGCATTATAATGCCATTGCATTCATTGACTTTCTATGGCAAAATAATGCATTATAATGTACATTATTTGTAAAAATTGGCTACATGGGTAGAGGTCCTTGAAGTCTGTAACCACAAGTCGGAAAAGGAATGATGTTAATCAAAAAAAATTTAACAATTATAAATATAGGAGGACTACGTTTCACTGATTGTATTCATCTGACCAACTAGATACAATGAGCAAACAAAAGCCAATAACAACTGTTATCAGTGGTGCAGCAGCGATGCCTAGCACCACCACTATTACCAACGCGAACAATCGTGCTGCTGTTGTGAGGTCTCGACCTATGCGTCGGGTTCTTCAAAATTTCCGGCTTCTATGGCTTGATGCCAATTTAGATGAATCCAAGGACGATTTCAAGAAATCGTTTCGACGTCTGCGACGTGTTGTAGCAAGCATCGAAACATTTAAAGATGCTCAAGAATGCATTGATTTTCTCCGTGCCATTACAAATCAAAAGGTATTCATGATCGTATCTGGTTCACTGGGACGACAAATAATAGCAGATATTGAAGGATGGCCACAATTGGAGTCAGTTTATGTATTCTGTCGCAACCAAGTGGTACACGAACAATGGGCCAACAAAATATACAAGGTTAAGGGCGTGTATACCAAAATCAAACCTATTTGTAAGGCCTTGCAACTTGATCGTGAAAATTGTGATCGAGCTATGATCTCAGTCACTTTTAATGGTCTCGATCCTCTATTTATGTATACACAACTGTTAAAAGAAGCACTCTTGGAGATCGAAGATGATGATAAAAATTCCATCAAAGATTTGGCCGATTATTGTTGTGAACAAGACGATATTCCTGAAGACCAAATCAAACAAGTTGAACGTGAATATCGTAATCATACACCCATATGGTGGTATACAGCCGAAACATTTATGTATCCAATGCTCAATCGTGGACTTCGACAAATGGATGTCGACATTATTCTCAAAATGGGATTTTTCATACGGCATCTGCACAACCATATTACGCAATTACATCAGGAACAACAAGGCAGCATGCCGACAAAATTTCAAGTCTTTCGTGGACAAGGTTTGTCCATGGAAGACTTTGACAAAATGAAAAAAACCAAAGGAGGACTTATGTCCTTTAATAATTTTCTCTCGACAAGTCGCAATCGTGATATATCTTTCAAACACTTTGCACTACCAGCTACAAACAATCCCAGTTCAGTTGGTATTCTCTTTGTTATGAGCATTGACACGGCGATTTGCATGAAATCATCAACACCATTTGCTGAAGTAAGCAAAGTTGGTTACTACGAAGGTCAAGAAGAAGAAATACTCTTTTCAACACATACAATCTTTCGCATCGACCGGATCGAACGAATTCCCGACGAGCATACGAATCGCCTATGGCAAGTTAATCTCACCTTCGCAGGTAATCAAGATGATGACTTTAACAAACTCACCGCACACCTGCGAAAAGAGGTTAGTGGGGAAACCGGATGGGCTCGACTGGGTGTTATACTTATTAAACTCGGTGAGCCTGCAAAAGCAGAACATCTTTATCAAATACTCATTGAGACGGCAACTTCTGATAAAGCTCGAGGTGGTTACAATCATATGCTTGGTTGGGTGTATAACCGCCTTGGAGAGTACTCGAAGGCGATAAAATTTTACGAACGAGCACTCGGTATAAAAGAAAAAACTGTCCCTCAAAACCTTCCCGACTTGGCTTCTTCCTACAACAACATCGGTGCGGTGTACAAAAACATGGGCGAGTACTCGAAAGCACTTTCATCGTATGAACGATCACTTGAAATCCGGAAAATAGCTCTCCCTCCAAATCATCCCGACTTCGCACAATCCTACAACAACATCGGT